TGGAACAAGAGGTGGCCTTGGAGGAAGATCTTCTTCCACCTCACCCACTGCAAAAACCTTTAACTGCACTTTTGCCTCCATCTGCTTTTAAGTCTAAGATAATTCATCTAAATGTCACTTTTAAATTCTGGAAATTTAAAAACTGTCAGGCTGGATATTAGGAAGAACTTCTTCACTTTAAGAGTCGTTAGGCATTGGAACGGACTCCCCAGGGAGGTGGTGGAGTCAGCATCCCTGGAGCTGTTCAAAAAATGTTTAGATGTGGCGCTTCGAGATGTGGTTTAGTGGGTTTAGCGGGCATGGTGGCATCGGGTATACGGTTGGACTTGATGATCTTTGAGGTCTCTTCCAACCATAATGATTCTATGATTCTATACCTCCTGTCTGTAGTTTGTGGAGAGGAAGGAATTCCCTGCCTTGTTTGAATATACAATCAATATATGTAGAACTCTGCTTTTAAATAACATGATTGGCAAATTCAGTCCATCTTCAAACTTAGTGATAACCACTGAGTATTTTAAACTTGGGAGTTTATTGTTTGTGCTATCTAAAATGTCATAGTTCGTTCATAATTATTCATAGGACCCTCATTCCCCTGGGATGAGAGTCACTGTTAGATGTGCTAAATTGCTTTTAAATAGTTAGTACTATAACTGTGCATTTTGAGAGAAGTCATCAACATTGTTGCTTCATCAGATTATCAAGAAATTATGGTTCTTGGTTTTCTCTCTCACACTGTTTGTACTAACAAAAGATAGTTACATTTAGTCAGAGCTGACTAATCTATTTAAGTTAATATTCCCTTGAGGAAAAGCTTTAAATTTCACAGTCTGCTTCACTATGTTCTTTAGGCACTTAAGTAATTTCAGTCATTTGTAGAATACTGCAGAGTTTCTGGGTTGCCCAAACTGTTAATGAATTTGGTAACCTTTCATTAACCCTGTTGTTTTATTGTTTCCTATGTTGGCAGGAAACAAAAAAGTTGATATATTTTGATACTGTAATTTGGAAGCTTGCTGCTGAAACAAACACCAAAAAAAGTATTGTTACTTTGAACCTTTGTAATTGGCACTCATCAGTCCAGTATTATATCATATTCCTGTCTTCCCACTTATTTAAATGAACAGGATTCTCAGTAATGTTTATTAATACATCCTGTACTGTTGGATGATGGAGTCACAGAGTGCTTGAGATTGGAAGTTATTTCTGGATGTCAGTCTGGTCCAAAGCAGGTCCAATTAGATCAGGTCATGCAGTGCTTAATAAATTCTTAAATAAACTGTTTCAGTTCCTGTGTGTATGACTGATATCTCTAAGCAAATGTATGAATCGAGAATAACTAAATTTGACTTATAATTTCATAAAATAAATTATGGGCCTGGTAGTTGTTTGGATGTTGTCACTGAAACAATAATTACATCCTCGCTTCTGTTCCTCCGTTCCAAGTTTAAACAGTGTTATGGGTAGAGATTGTATATGGATTGCACCAAGACATACCTAAGATTCTTGGCTTTGGGAAAAATCTTATGAAACCCCTATAATTTTCCATTTAAGGTGAGCTTCATTCTTTAAATAGTGCTAGCATTAGAATAGGCAAATACCTGTCGAAGCTGTGGTACTCAGTACCCAGCAGTGACACTCATGAATGTACAGTATGAGAACAGTGTAAGCGTGGAGTGCTGCTTCCCTGGTAGCACTCTCAGCAACAGGTTATTGGAAGCTGAAGAAATTTTCTGAGCCAGACATGGTATCTTTATATTTAATAACCCATGAGCAGATTTAATGCACCTGTTATTAAAATTGTTTCAAGGGTAAGACTTTTTTTAATTACTATGTATTAGTCAGGCTGTTTTTGATGATTGAATGATCCCTGTTTGGGAAGACAAAAAATTTTAATATCTTTGAATGTTTGCTTGACTGTAGAGGCCTGATCCTCTCTCAAAGGGGACTGACATTGGGGAAGAACAACCTGGAACAGATCTTACCTTGATAGCTTGTTCTTTTGTTAATTTAAAAATTTGTTTTTATAGTCACAACCTTCCTCCTATGAAATTCTAAAGCACACGGTTTTTCCTTTTTCTTATTTTCTTTGCAGGATCTACGTATAGATGTCTTGTAAGAACATGGATATTTAATATCTATGCGATACCTACATGTGCACTGCTAGTATTTGCCGTCTACGTAATTTTAGTCTTCCATCTTGCTTAACAAACAGTGTCCAGACTCTTTATTTTTACAGTGTGGTTAATAGAGATCTTTCCATCAAAAAAGTACATAATGCTGCCACTGTTGTTTCTTACTACTGTGGCCCTTAAATGTAATCAAGTTTAGAAAACTGGAGACGTGAACAAGTGAGTTACTCAGTTTTAAAGAAAATAGCTTGGGCCCTCAATTGTATTTAAGCCCTCTAACTAGGCTTAGAAAAAGTTTGAGCTGATTTAATCCTCTGAGACATTATCTTTGACAGAAGTAGTGTGGAAATGCGATGCTGTGCTGTATTTCTTCACAGCTGAAGCAGCTTCTTTTTCCCTGAGTAAAGAGAATTCTGTTGCACCAGCAGATCACTATTAGTGTAGGTCCAAAAATCTGTATCTGCTCTCTGTGTCCTACAGATGCAAGCCAAAGAATATTTTTGTCTTTCAATCAACTTTACCTGTTGATTGACAGGGATGAAATGTATGTTGCTGAAGAGTATAAGGGGGGAAGCCAATCCAGAAAACCCCCAACAACCCAAAACCTCCCACTTCTTCCTGGAGGTTTATTAGATGTACATGATCAAGAGCTATGCAGGACTGCAGAAATCACAATGATGATAAACGAGACATGTTGTTCAAAAGAAACCACTGATTATTACCATGCAGGGTGGATAAACTGATTTAAAAACTGATCTGGTAGGAAGCTTTGTTTTCACTGTAATTTGATACAGCCTCATGGGTAGTTGCTGTAGCTTACAGATACCTGTGACCCTTTTCCTTGTCTGCTTTTTTGCTATTATTTATGCAATATTTGTTTCTAAATATATGGTAAATCTTACTGTAATATCATAGTTACTTAGCTGAGTTTAGCAGTAATGCTTTTTGACTTATGTAGCCTTAACTATTAATGGAAATTGTAAAAAAGCCATGTTTATATATTCACAGAAAAAGAAACCATAGCGTTTATTAAGCACTTACTTAAGCTGCTTTTTTTTTTTTAGTGTCAGTTTGTAAAAATGATGTTCATAGATGATGACTGTCTATAGTTCAGTTGCAGTATATGACTTTTGTCCGCCTGGAGTACCAGGGAATTTATGAGCTTCTAAATGTCAGCCCTCCTCTTCATCAGGGACCAGTCCCTCATTCACCAAGTATTCTGGCCAATAGGTCAGGTATATCTGATATATGAAAATGGATAGTAGAAGTTATGATAGTAGAAATGCATGAATCGGTGCTGGTGCAGTGGGAAATGGAAATTAGTGAGATGCTACAAGCTCTCTTTAATCTCGCTGTTAAGCCTAAGAAAGATGTACCTGTGAAGACAATAGTGATTATACAGATCATCAAAAAGAGGAAATAGAATAGTCTTTTGAGGTCTGTTTTTTTTCTCCTTTCTAGATTTTTTTTTTTTTTTTAAATTCTTTCTCATTCCTTGTCAAATTCCTTCCTGTGCCATTCCACCTTATCTGCCCACTGCTGGGCTAGGATTAAAAGTCTGAAGTTAGGTAGGGTTCTGACATCTTTACTCCCATGTCTTCTAACAATAATCAGAGCACAGTTTAATCAGCTGAGGAGTAAAATGTCTAAGTAATTTTCACCACATCACATGGTATCACTTTCTCTGCCCCTCAAATCTGAAAAATCCTAGAAATGAGATGATTTTTTAAAGCACTTTTTTGGTGGTATAAAGCGATCTAAAATAAGTTGTCTTCTAAATACTGTTGAAGAGAGTTTTATTTGCTTTTCACGTTTTTCCCTCATCCTGACTTACATATAATTTCAAAGTTTATACAAACTTCTATAGCATCAGATGTGCTGGAAGTGCATAAAAACTTTCTGCAACATAGAATGGAGCAATGCTGTAACAGGCTGAGAAGACAATTTTGTCAGAAGTGGGGTTTGAATGTGCAGCTGGGGTATGTTGTGGCTATTTTAAAAGTAATGCATTTTAATATGAGATAGAATTCATTAAGATCCTTTTATAGGTAATAACTCTGTAATTTCAAATAAGATCAAATCTGAATGCAGCTTGCCAGGTTTGTACTTATACACCTGTACGTAATATTTTTGTTTATTCTGATGATCTGGACAGCATGGGATGGTATTTAACAACATAAACGTTACTTAAAAAATATTTCCTTTTCTACCTGAAGATTGTTTGAATTTTGGGGGTAGTCATTTCTGTGATTCCCTAACAGTCTTAAGAGGCTAGATGGTATTTGTATGTGTGAGCTGGAAGCAGGTTATCTGGAAGGCGTAGATGTGATTGAGGCATGTGCGCTGTTGAGTAGCTGTTGCGCCGACTTCAGCAATTCGTGAACACATCAGACTTGCAACATGCGGTGTATGTGGAGCTGTGCAGGTTTATAGGTTTGTGCAGGTCTGATACTTCTGGGAAATGTTAGATTTTCTGTGTATGTGCTGTCTGGCTACCTTGTCTCTGCACAGTTAGCTCAATGTATTTGAAAGCAGTATGTTCACTGTATGTGTGTACCAAGTTTACAAAGTGTTAGACTTACTGAGGGTGGGCCATGCAGCTTATTCCCATGCATTCCACCTGGGAAATCCATTGCATGCTTAGAGGAGCCTGAGCTTCAGTTTGTGTTCGTTTTCACTTAGATATGGGTTTTATTTTATGCAGGTACTTCAATGACAATATGGTTTACCAAGAATATTCAGTGAATGGAGAACATTTCATGGCATATTTTAAAGCTAGCTAATCACTCTTTAAAACATATTGTAGAAGTTCTGATGTATTTTTGTTGCTCTTGTATGCTTGACTCAAAATTGTTTTTCTCTTTTCAGGCAGCTATAAATGGTGTAATACCACAAGAAAATGGCATTCTACAAAGGTAAGCACGGAAGACTGGAGTAGTACACACAGAGAATTATGCTGGGGAATAGTTACATTTCTTGTTCCTGAATCCTAAGAAGATGATGTAATTCTCCTTTTAAAGCAGTTTCTGGAGCCACAAATTCCTGACAAAGCTGATTTAACATTAAATTTTTCCCATACTGATGGAGGACCAGTTCGAACACCTATTCAAATCAGTTAATTTTTATTTTGAATTCATTGGTTGTTGGGTCATTCTGTGCAGCGTTGTCTCTTTACTAAGTCTGGATGTTGGTATGCTTTCTTGGATGTCAGGACTTGGGGTTTTGTTTTTTTGTTTTTTTTTTTCTTTTTTTGCAGAGGTCTAAAAATTTGCAAGGCAAATCCGCAGATGTTCCTGGCTAAGTATTTTCTTTTTCTGTATGCATTTTTAGAGAGATTGATATTCCATGCTTCTTTGTCCCTGGCCAGAAGTGTTTGTATTTTTCTAGGTTTTTGGTTTGTTTTTGTTTTTAAATTGAGTTACAGGCAGCAGATAACGTGTTAGATAAAGTAAGGTTGCTCCCTTCTAAAAGTAGCTTTATTGATTTTCTTTCAGCTTCTGAATTAAATTTGGGCTTGTATACTGATGCCTGGATATCTTGAAGTCACTGCAGCATGAGCTTCTAGGTGCTGATGAGGCAATTGAGAACAGCAGAACAGGAATTGAGCTACTTGAGAGAGACAGTAAAATAGTGTTTAAAATTTTGTTTAGAAAAATACTCAGTGTACTATTTTAAAAAGTTTATTTTAATGATGAGAAAAGATACATAATGTAGATATAAGATACATAATGGTGGCATTCGGTATACGGTTGGACTTGATGATCTTTGAGGTCTCTTCCAACCATAATGATTGTATGATTCTAAAATGGTGTTTTGGCATCTCTCTCAATATTTACTAAAGCTATCATTAAATAGAGTCAGGTTTTAATTCAGGATAAAACTGTATTTGCTCAGTAAAGTTACTAGATGATTATTTACCATAAGACCTACCCAGTCCATTTGAGATTAAGTCTCGGTTGTGTTGAGCGCTCTTTCTGCCCATGTTAGTAAGTCCTGTCCTCAAAGCATTTATATTCAAAGTACCAGAATGCTTGGAACCATGTGGTCAGGGGGAAGGAGCTGGTAGTGGTTGTGCCTGACTTGGATAACAAGCTGGGCCAGTGTCTACTTACAGCTTTCTTCCACACTAATTTATTAATTTTTAGAAATTATTAGACAGTCAAATGTGTTTCAAATATTTAATTCCCCCCCCCCCCAAAAAACGTGGTTTAAAAGGAGGCTCAGAAGACTTAGAAGCCTAGTTTCCAGTGGTTTTCAGATGAGGCTTATGTTACTGATGTGAGGCTTTTTATGTTCCGTTAGAGGTTGTCAGTCAGGTATGTAGGATGCCTTTTGTGGTGGAATCAAATAGAATTAATACAACTGGACTTGAAGTAAGTCAATTTATTGAAGGGAAAAAAATGTTTTGTTTTATAATTCAGTTGTGTTGTTTAAAAAAGATAAATAAAAAATCCAGTCCTGAGAATCAGGATATTCATTGCTTCTTGGATCTGTTAACAAAATGGTTACAGTGCTTAATTCATTGTTGGCCATTAGATTTAAGAGAGTAACATATCACTCGGTATTTATACTTTTTTTAATCGTGAAAATAAGACTGTTTCCTGTGCACTTTAGACCTCTGAAGTGAGTGTTTGACCTTTGAACATGGGTTTTTGAGTGTGGGTCTTTGTAGCTGGGAATTCATCCATCTGAGCCTGCTGATGTGAAAAGTGGAACCCCTTGTTTTACAAGCATAACATGTTTTTCTTTTTCAAATTATGGGATTTGCGATAGCTGTGTACAATTTCTGCACTTCTGTGACATGCATGCCACATTTATGCTTTTTTAAGTTCAGGCCTCCTCTAGATGACAGATTTGACTTGCTATAAGAAGCATTTCTATTGAGACATGGGGATATCTTGTGGTATTTTCAAGAAGGACAGAGTGCGTTTTTCAAATAAGTTCTGTTTAAGAATGGAAATAAGACAACTGACATCTCAGCATTTCTTAAATCCTTCTTTGCTCAGCTTCCATTCTTCCAGTGCATACATTTTACTAGCTTACATCCTCCATCATGATATCCTGTAACTGCCTAGCACAGATAATCTTCCTGATAAGAACATCTACCAGGCAAAGCTCTAGGCTTACCCTGTGAAGTTTCTTGCCTTCCAAATTTAATTTCTGTACATCATAGTTTGGTTTTTTTTTTCCTGAGTAATTTCCATAAAGTTCATGTTTTGTTACCTTTATTTCTAATCCCAGTTACATGCTTCTTGTGGAGAAGCTTACTGAGGGAATGAAGTGCTTCTGGGTAGTAGGGGTTTCCAAATTTATTCTGACCTGTATTGCTGTATGTATCCTTGAGCGAGGTATGGAGACATTCTTCTATGAATGTCCAGGAGGCTTGAAGGATTTTGAACTTAAAGGCAAGCTAGAATTCAGCATTGCATTATTGTTGTACTTCTAGGTATTTTTTGCATTGTATACCTCATTACCTTAATTTATTTACCTTAAGTACATGACTATTTTCATATCTGACTTGTTTTCCACTAATTTGGTCTTAGAAAATACCAATCCATGTGCACTATTTTAAGCTTTATTTCTTATTCTCATTTCTCATTTTATACTAGCCCAATGATGTAGAAAGCTGTTTGTTGCCATGGTGCCAATTTTTATATGGTTACGTCACTCCTGGAACAGGAAATAATCCTTCTTCTCAAGATAATTCTGATATTAATTACATAGTGAACTTTAGGCTGAAATAATGACTTAAATGCTTGTTTGTCATCTAAGCTGTTCTCCGATAGCACTTCTAAGTCACTGAAATGTTGATATTGCTGGTATGAAAGTTATTTTCTAATTATTAATAAGACAGTATTTTCAGATATGACAGTGTAGTTTATTCAAGAGGTGTGTGCTGTGGACCATAGTAAGTGAATAATACTGTTCATTTTGATTTGCTAACTTTTATTTAAATATATCAAGCTGTTCTGTTTAAAATTTCTTATCTGCATATCTTTCAGTGAGTATGGTGGAGAGACTTTACATGGACCAGCTTATGGCCCTGCAGGTCATTCTACAGCAGCTTCTTCAACTCCTTCCTCATCCTCAGCATTTCGCCATGTAGTGCCATCTAGACAAATAGTGGAAAGACAACCTCGAATGCTTGACTTCAGGGTTGAGTACAGAGACAGAAATGTGGATGTAGTACTTGAAGACAGCTCCACAGTTGGTAAGGATTTGTAAATATGAAATGAAAGCTGTTGTGGTAAAATTGTTAAAACAAAAACAAACAAAAAAGACCCAACCCGGAAAATCCAATGCCTTAAAAAAAGCAAAGCAAACCAAAACAGAATCCCTCAAAAAAGAAAAAAAAAGTCCCCCAGAAAATGCAGCCTCCACAGCTACTAACCATTTTCACATCTCTTTGCAGCTTTAAAAAAAGCAAAATTTCACTAATCCATTGTAAAGGTTAGTGATCTATCAAATACTTATTTTGAAATCTAGTTTTCTTATGAACTTGCTTCAGAAACAAAATGGAGATTACCGATTAAGTTGATGCATGAAAATATAATTTGGGGTAGGATTAGTGTAGATGCAGTCTACTAATAAGCGGATGATCTTGGCATTTCCTTTTTGAATCTGTGTGGCATCTCTTTCTGTGCAGGATTAGTGACAAGGTTAAGGAATGCTTTCCAGTGTGAAGAGCATCATTGCATTGTTTTTTCAATTTTTATTTGATTCTTTTGTGCAAATTAAGATGTCTTTTATCTGTTTTATTGTCTTTATCCTAAAACTGATGCATTTTGTAACAGTAGGTTAGAAATATGCTATTGTTAGTATTGCAGACCATGTTATTTTTTACATTCCCCAAACTGTAAGCAATTTACTTTTGCTAAGGAAGAAGAGTATTTTTTTATTTGTTTTTCATTTTTAATGAAGACTCTGTACAGAGCAAAATAAGGAACTACATGAAGAAATAGTTGATGAAAACAGTTTTGAGTGCTGCAGCCTGATATCTGTGATGAAATTTTGAAATGGAAACTTTCGATCCTTATTTGTCTTGTTAGCATTCGATATGGTATTGGCTGGTGCCACCTGGTGGTGATTCCTTTGAGTTCTTGATAGTATTGCACATTTTCTGCTCCACTACACAGAGTTGTATCTGTGCAAAGCGCAAAAGTCTGATCAAAGGAGAATTTTGTAGCCGTAGTACTTTATTTTTTCTTATTAACTTCTTTCAGGTATAAATGATTAAACGGTAGGGCAGAAGGCAGTCAGTGTGGAACTTTTGCCTGTATCTTGGCATATAAAGATGGAGGGTAGCCTTGTGTTTAAAGTCCTGAGAGAAGTGAGCAAGGCAAATGGTAGAATTTCAAGCGTGGACTTAAGGAAAGAAGATTTTTGGCTTTTTCAGGAATCTGCTTGGCAGGATCCCATGAGAGACTGCCCTGGAGGGCAAAGGGGCCCAAGAGAGCTGGTTGATCTTCAAGGACAACCTCTTCAAAGCACAAGAACAGTTCCTTCCAACATGCAGAGAAAGAGGAGCAAGCATGGCAGAAGGCCAGCACAGAAGAACAAAGAATTTCTGACTAAGCTAAATGCAAAAAGAAAGTACGCAGAAGGTGGAAGGTAGCGATGGGCTACCCAGGAGGGATACAGAGACGTTGCCAGAATAATCAGGTTTGGAGTTAGGAAGACCAAAGCTCAGGTAGACCTGAAACCACCGAGAGATTAGAAGGTGTTCTTTAAGTACATCGACATGAAAAGAAAGGCTAAGGAAAATGTGAACCTCCTGTTCTGGTGATTGCTGAACTTGGTCCATGGGAAGATTATTGAGAAAATCTTTCTGGAAGCCCTTTATGAGCACAGGAAAGAGAAGACGGTTATTTGGAACAGCTGGCACAGATTTGCTAAGAGCAAATTGTGCCTATCAACATTATTTGCCTTCTGGGATTTGATGACTGGCTCTGTGGACGAGGGGAGAGTGGTAGATGTCACTTTGACTGTAGTAAGGCCTTTGCATGCTCTACTGTAGTAGTCTTACAGTTATATTGTTAAGATAAGGACTGGATAAGTGGGCTGATAAGGTAGGTAGATAATTGCCTGGACTACTGGGTTCAAAGTCTGACTGGTGAACAGTTACTACTTTAGGGATGTCCCTAAGGAGTTGATCCTGGGGCCAATGTTGCTTAAGGTCTTTATTAAAAACCTGGTTGTTAAGGTAGGCGCTCTTGGCAAGTTCACAAAGAATACCAGATCAGAGAAAGCAGCTGATATTCTGGAGGGCAAGGCTGCTATTTAGAGGGCCCTGGACACCCTGGAGAAATGGGCTGACAGGAGCCTCATGAAGTTCAAAGAAAGCAAAGCTGAAGTCCTGCATCTGGGATAGGATAACTCCATGTTATCCTATCTGATAACTGGCTGAGGGCTGAGAGGCTAGGAAGCAACTTTATAAAAAAAGGGACCTAGGGGTGCATCAGCAGCGTGCCCTTGCAGTGAAGGCGGCCAGCCAAGTCCTAGGCTGCGTTAGTGAGAGTGTAGCCAGTGGATCCAGGGAAATAATTATTCCTCTCTATTCAGCACTTGGGAGACTGCATCTGGAGCACTGCATCCAGTTGTGAGGTCCCCAGTATGAGAAAGATGTTGACATTCTGCAGTGAGTCCAGCAGAGGCCAGCAAGGATAGTCAGGGAGTTGGAGCACATGGCAACAAAGGAGGAGAGGCACAGAGAACTGGATTTGTCCAGCCTGGGGAAGAGAATGGGAAAGGTAGAGAGACCTTATGTCTGTCTACAGCTACCTGCTGGGAGGACAGAGAGAAGATAGAGCCAGACTCTTCTTGGAGGTGCACCATAATAACAATGAAAATTCCCATTAGATTAAAAAGATTTTTTCTTTTTCTTTTTTTTTTTTTTTTGTTTTGTTTTGAGAGTGGTGAAGTACTGGAACAGGTTGGCCAGAGTAGTTGTCAAACTTCCATCCTTAGAGGTGTTCAAGAGTCAGCTGGACAGCTCCTTGACTAAACTGGTTTAATTACACCTTTGAGCTGGGCTTGGGCTAGGTGAACTCCTGAGGTACCTTCCAGCCTGAATTATTTTATGACTATAATAACTACAGGGAGAGCAGAGCATAGAAACCTGCAGAACATTGAAGAAGCTGTCAGAACAGTTAAATTGTATGAATACTCCAGTTCTTTAGGTCAGGACTATTGATAATAGAATTGGGTATCAAAAATATGCACCCACTTTGTTGCTGGCAAAGTCCATTGCTCCAGATAGCATGCATCTGCAAATGTGTGTGTCTAGTGTGCGCAGTGTAGAACTATTCAAATATATGTCCAAATCATCAGATCCTCATATGATTCTCCAATCATTCATGCTTTATGTGATTTTTTTTTTCTTAGCTTCATTTGTCCTTTACTGTTTGAAGTATATGTTACAAGGCTAACTAGACTAAAAATGGTTTTCATAGTAAATTTTTCCTTGCTCTTGTTTTTTGACTATAACTCAGTACTGTTTGAAACAAAACATTAAGTGTGTATATTTTATATATTTTCTTTGTTTTCTCTTTAGGAGATATCAAACATATTCTAGAAAATGAACTTCAGATCCCTGCATCTAAAATGCTGTTAAAAGGGTGGAAGACTGGAGATGTAGATGATAGTGTAAGTTTTCAACTGTGTTTTCAGTTAACTGAATTCAGAGTTTGAAACTGATCATCTGTGGGTGGGGATTACAATGCAAGAATTGTGAGTTTCAAGCAGTGTTAGATGTCTCAGGTGGCATACAAGGAACTGTTAAAGTAAAACAGAGCAAAAAAGATCAGGACAAATCACTTTAGGTTGTGTTGATTTTATATATAACATGGCCCACCTACAAAAAGGGTGTTATGGGGTTAATAGTATATCTTGAAACAAAGTATTTGATGATATTGTAGATAAGTATCAATAATTAAAAGAAATAAAATAGTATGTCAGAATTGGTGAATACTTTATATTTATAATGATTTTTCTCCCCTCAGACTGTTTTAAAAACTCTACACTTGCCAAAAAATAATAGTCTTTATGTTCTAACACCTGACCTGCCTCCTCCTTCTTCAAGTCATTCTGGGTAAGTCTTTTTGCCATAAATTCTACTTGTATGATTTGGTTTTGTACTGTTTTTATGAAGCCACATGTATCCTTGCAGGAATCTGCAAACAGTAAATAACAAAGCATTTTCACAGCTCTAGGAAGGTTTGCGATGAACTACCTCAGCACCTCATTGTTGAAAAGAAGGTTGTTAAGTTTTTTAAAACCTTGGTGTGGTATATGAACCACTTAGGAATTTTACACCTCCCAGATGCAGTGACTCTAACAAAAGTCTAGTCTCTGTGGAAACGAGAGCTGACCTCTTGTAAGTTACTGCATTATGTTAGTTCATTTAATGTAAACTTGTATAAATCATTGCCAGCAGATCAGAATTTTATTTCTGAAATGTTTGTTACATTATTTTATCTTACCTTCTTCGACTTTTAAAATGTATGTGGATAGGCTGAATAATTAATTTCCTCTAGCTGAGCAGAGCATCTTTTATTACTGATTTGAATACTCAAAAAGTTAACGGTGAGTGTTCATATGTCAGTGAATATTGCTAAGGTTTGAAAATGAAATGTTATTCTATGGAAAATGGAATCTTTACTCTTATAAAATAATTTACAATTACTGTGATTACTTTTACTTGTTTTCTTTCCTGCCTTTCCATGTCTCGAAGGCAGACCTGTATGCTGTCTTTACCAGGAAAAGAGGACTTTCATTCGGAAGCCGCTAGAGGGTGCCCAGTAATTGAGCCTGGAGGAGCAGCGCTGCTCCCGCCAGCGAGCCAGCAGGGAGGGTTGCATTTGGAATTGGTCAAATTGCATGATCATTAGACTAGAGTGCCTTCAGGTTGTCTGAAGAGGGAGTTGTTTTTCTGCCCTTGTAGTTGAGAGTATTCTACAAATGCAGTCGTATTACCGGTGAAGGAAATTCTTTGACAATCAATAGAAATAAGTAACTGGTTTCCTAATGACTAAAAAGTACTTCATGTGTTACTAAAAGGTACTTGTGCACATAACCGTGGAGGAAATAAGAATGCTGGTATGAATTATAAAAATAAAGAGAAGAAGCATTAGGAGAGGGAGTAGTGGCACTGGAACAGAGAGAGCAGAGTGCTGGTGAGCTGTGTGTGAACTGTATGTGCTCTGTATGCGCACACAGGAGCTGCAGTTGTCTGTGAAGACACTAAACCATTGTACTTAAGCAGCTAATTGAAGGACTGTAAAAATACTGTGGAAAAACACTGTAGCTACTAATTGTTTGGGTGTTTTTTTTTTAATCCATTTCCAATTTCAAAATTTTCTACCCATGTATCCCTGTATATTGTAATTTGAATGTCTTTGATTCGCGAATGAAAACTGGGGTCTGAAGAATGTTGTTTATTGCAACTACAATAAACTGTATAACAACAAACTGTTTAGAAACAGTTCTTAGGTGTTTTTTATTGGATGAATAGTTTAAAAGAACTTTACTTGCTAGTAAAATCAAAGTTGTTGTTACCTTTACAGTTTATATTTGTTTCATAGTGGAGATTAGTTCTGGATATTTTTAAGATAAAGTTGGTAGCTTTGGGACAGCAAACGATGATTAATTAGTGGCTATTTAAACAAGGATAATTTGAAGGCTGGATTATCTCCCTGAAGTCATAAATTCTAGATGAAAGGGGAGGCTTGCCTCCAATTAAAGCATCAGTGCAGATCAAAACGCATCTAATTGAAGCAATGTACCAAACCCAGTTACACTGTTTACTGCCTACTGTTAGGTCAGTTATTATTCAGATTAGTTTGTTACCCACAATTTTTAAAAGCATCGTGCTCACATCTATTATTAATGGATGTTAAGGAACTTTGCCTCTTACTTTGTGAGTTTGTCTGTCGTTTTCTTCAAATGCTTTCTGTGTTGAACTGGAGATAAATAGTCGTGATTTGAATATGTCCAGAAAGTGATATTTGAAAAGCCTGAGATTTCAGTATGTGATATTTTATGTGTATGCCCTTCTTAAAAGGAGCAGTCTGGTCACAGCTCTATAAATTCCAGTTTGTGCCTGTTCTTGACATTGAGGGAGAACAGTGTCTGAAACTCCTTTTCCAACGTATTGGTACGTAGACACTGCAGTTTATTGTGACAGACTGAATGGGCTTAACCCAGAACTGACTTAAAACTAGCATCTAAATGTAATGGCAAAGTGATCCTGCAGTTTAAACAAGCAAAAATCTCATAGGGTATCTTTGTTCATCAGTTGCATATCTAAAGCTTTTATAGGTAATAGAAACCCAGTGAATTACTACTGCATGCTAGTAAATTGAGGTGTAAAGATTAAATTTAAATGTCAAATACCACCTGTAGGGTTACATGCCCTGCTTCCACAATTTCAGCTGGAGAAGCCATACTTGTCCATGAATGATATCCAGAACAATAACAACGTGATTTGTGAGCTGTGGACGTAATGAAACCTGATTTCTAGCGAATTCCTGTCTCATCCCGGTGGCTGCAGTAACTCAACCCTCTCCCTCCGTGCTTCCCATGATCTCACCTACCTCTGACACTGCCTCCAGTTCTTCCCATGTATTTTATACCACCTATGCTATTTTTTCCCCCTGCATAGACAGTCAGCTTGCCCTGCCTCTCTTCTCCAGCTGGTAGCCAAGTAGTGTCGAAGGAAAGGAGACATCACATACTGTAGGTAGTTCTGTAATCATTGGTTAGAAGTTGGCTGGACGGTGTATAAAAATATTATGTTTGTACTGCAACCTTTTAGTAAAGTGGGTAGTAATTTGGGTTCCTTTCCTCTACCCAGCTGTTGCTTTACACCCAATCTTTGAGACCTTTATAATGCTGTCAGAACTCCTTGAAACTAGTGAATATGTTCAAAAGTTACTGGGTGGGACACGTGGGTGAGAAAAACATTATTTCCTTTGGAAAGCAGTCTTAAAAGGAAAGGTGCCAAAGAATGTCCATCATTTAGTTGTCCAAGGGGAGGAGAGATCCTTTGCACCAGCTTTGTCAGATTAGATTCTTCACTTCCTCAGAGGGACTTTCCTTCCCTTTGTTGCTTCGGGTGATTCTTGAAAGCTGTCAATACCCAGTTCAGGGAAAAGGTTTTGAAGACTGCAATAGAGGGGAGCATCAAAAGCGTAGGCATGCGAGTCTGACCACGGAGCTAGGTGGTCCTGATCATCTCTCCTTTCTATCTTGCATGTTCTGGGAGGCATTTTTTTCTCAATTTTTTCTTCAATTGTCACTTTAATGTGTATGATGTGTTTTATATTTATACTTTTTGGCTAAATAGCTGAAAGTCTTAGATATTTTGTTATACCTAATGAATCATTGGAAGATTCAAAGCAGTTAGGTGTTATTTGACCAGGTACATAGCTTGGTGATTATTACAAATAATGCATTTTTACTAAGCAATTGTAATTTATTTAAGAAATGTAGTCATCTGTGTGGATAGGAGTAAAAAGTCCCATCTTTGACCTAAGGGGTCCATATGTTGCTGAGTGTGTATGTTAGATTGTTGCAGAGGAGTGGTGATCGTGGCATGGTGTCTTGTTGTACGCTATCAACTGTAGCGGAGTGTTAATTAAGAACGATGTAACCTGCAACTCCAATTATTAGTATTGTCTGTTTAGCTGGACAGGAGCAGTGCCTTGCTTTAGTTACTTTGAAAGCTTCAATAAAAATGGTAAGATTAACGTTTTATTTTCACATCTGCTCATGAGACAGTTTAAAAATCCTGAAGTTTAAAATGCAATAGAATGTAAACAAAAGGGCTTCTGCTCATTTACATGTTAGCCAGATTTGCTAACTGATTGCTGTTTGAACCTAATCTACCACCTCCTGCTGCATTAGCTACAACAAACATTACATTTACATACTGATTTCTTATTTTGTTTTAATGTAAATAATCTGTAATTACAGTAAATTTGGACTTCTGTTGACATGAGCTTGTATAAATCTGTAAGTTTAAGATGGAAATGTTAATTACCTTGTGTCATACCTATTTATATAAAATTCAGAGATTTTGGGGGAAATCTCCATGTGACTGAGAAAGATATTGCCTAATAGGAAGTACTGAATATATTTCATAAAAACTTACAGAAATGAAACAAAGAGGTACATTTGCTGATGATTGATTAAGGTTATACTTTTGGTTTCAAAGCTTAAAATATTACTAAAATTTCAAAGAAAAATGCTATTGAAAACCCAAAGTATTACATCAGAAATTGAAGCATTAAGGCAGTCACTTAACAATAGATATAACCAATCTATTTTATATATTAAGTGTTAAAGAAAAATAGAAAAGCAGTAAAATGGAAGCTTAAAATATAGTAAATATCAATACTAATATTATCTTGCTTCAGCATTGTGTAGACTGATTGAACAGTTGCTGTCCCCTAAGATTGACATTATTTGCAGTTACACTTTTTTTGCTAAATACTGTTTCTATTCTTAAGTTATTAGAATTGTGGTTGATAAATTGTGCTGTATTGGAATTTGGATGGAGTAGCTAGTGAATAAACTCTGTCCAGACTCTTAACTGAGTTTTGATATTTTGAGTTCAGTGAAAAAAAATTCTTGCAAATTCCGTTGCTTGAAATTTAAGTTTCAAAAAGGAGGATTTTTGTTTGCACATTGTAGAGTTTCAACCCCAGCTGAATCCTGGTCCACCACTTCGGTTTCTATGCGTTGTGATAATGCCGATAACCAATGCTATATAGGCAACCCATATGAAATCCTAAAATAGTCCAAGTCTCTCTTGTTAGAACTGTTCAAAGCAATGACTGTGCTCAGGTCTGTTTTCTTTTCTCTGTCTTGGACTTCTTTTTTGGTTGTAGGCAGAGTTCCCCTAATGGAAGACTGGTGCCCCAAAATACCATCAAGTTCCCTTGCCTCCTGTGTTGAATAGTGAATGCATAATCATTCAGCTGAAGAAAAAAAAATGTAATGGCAGTATATAACCTATCAGCAAATACTTTTGAAAGCTAGGGTTTGCGGTAGGGGGGAAGTGGTGCTGATAAGAGTGGCCTACTTTAATCCTGTTTCTAGAATTTGATTTTCTTTTCCCACTAATTAATTCTCAGATTAATTAAATTCTGTTAGCACTGATGACAAAAAAAAGAAAGAAAAAAAAAATCTGTCTTAACTTTAATGGGACCTGGGGTTTAGCCCTGATTTTTTTTTTTTTCTTCCTTTTAATGCAGATGTTGGAAATTGTAGTCAACTGATAACATTTGCAGCAAAGTGAAACTGCTGCAAACACTGAAGCCAAAATTTTAGAAATGTGCATTGTGTTCAAAGTCAGTCTTCTCAATACAATTATGCGCACCTGAAAAGAAGTAAGACTAAGATTCAGCTTACTGTCAATGAGAAGTCTCCTTTAAATACACTTATTTTGTACATTTGATCATAGCCTTAATGGCTAAAAATAAAATTTTAAGGGCAAGGTATGTTTTGGAAGCAGAATTCTATTGGCACAAATAATTTGAGCTAATCCATCCCTAGTTGGTAGACAAAATTAGTATGGGAGGGGACTGACATCACTGGGTGTCCAGCTACGTGTTCAAATCAACCCCATGCCACAGCGGAGCATTGGCACGTGTAGGAAGTTGTTGGCACAAACTGCTCATCAGGTGTCCCATCAATTCCTCCTCCCATTGACTTTCTAATGTATATGATTCAGGTCTTATGGCTGTCAGACCATATGAAATTTTGATAGAGGAGCTCAAAGGATTGGGTCCATTGACCACTGCATTTCTGTGTAAGCAGAAGTAATATTCCTCATTGTATTATTTTTCTGAAGAAAATGTGAAAAATTAACTGTAAACTTTAATTGATAACACTTTCAAAACCAATTTTTTCCCCCATTTTTTCAAGGTTTTTTTTTTAGCTTACGCTGTTTACAAATCCAAAGAGTAGATGTGACAAAATTGTTAGTTACTTCAAAAATTGAGGCTTTTAATTTTAAGGCACTTCATTGAAATTAACTGTATTTGAAGAGTATTTTTTCCTTTTCTAAATACTCTCTGCTATCACATCCAGATGAAATAGAGAAGTGGAAAACCCTTCCTACAAACAGGTGCTTTTCATTAGCATGCTATATTTTGGATAGTACTGGAGTGTGTGTATCGTGCATACCTTGAGAGACTGAGGGTTTGGTTGAACAAGCCTGTTTCATTCTATGTTTACATCAATTACAGAATGAAAACATGAGTCATGTTATCAGTTAGCATCTACAGATTTTCAGATAGCTGTAACAGCCTTGTGTGATTCTGTATGGAATCCAGAGCCATTCACATATGCTGTAATTAATGTTTTCAGAGCAATTAAATATGTCATTCGCCTCCAGTATTTGCTGAAAATAAATAAAAAAAATCAGAATCTGAAAAAGCACAGCAGGATATTTTGGTTGCTACTGAATATTTGCCAAAAGAAAATACGGTTATGGCGATGCTAAACTTGCTGCTAACAATCAAATTGGAATTACCTTAGAACTTCCTTTGAAAATAGGCATGCAACTTTTCAGGACTTTATTTTCTCTTCTGTAGGACTGTTAAAAATCTTTTTTAGGCCTTTTCTTACAAGATTTTGTGACAAGTGGAGCTAATTTCATGTTCAACATAGATGACTGACTTCAGTTACATTTGTAGTGTCTCTCATGCACTTGATCATACCTAGCATTGACAATGAGTTAAATTTATCTTACATATTAGAAAACCATAAAAGATGAGAAATAGCACTTTGTGATTTTATTTTGTAGTATGTGATTATTATGTTTAAGATGTCACAGAATCCAAATTAAGTTGCTGAGTGAAGATATTTTTGTAAGGTAATTTTTCTTGAGATGTTAAAGCAAATTGTGCATCTCTTGCTAAAGCATCCAGTGAATATTGCATGGGTTCATTACCATCTGAGCGGCAAAACTGCAGATCAGTAATTCCAGTAGAAGTTAAAACTAACAAATCAGGTCTCAAATAATCTAGCAGGCTTTCTTGTCTTCTTGTATCTTAAGATACAGCTGTGCTCATCTGCATACAGAATTTGTCCTTTATTGCTAAGAGGAATGGCATGTTGAAGTGTCATGGAACAGTGAAGATACAAGGAAAAAACCCCAGTCTGTCATTCTTTTAAGAGTTTGTGATAAAAAAAAAAAAAAGAATCGAATAAGCCCAATTTAATTCCGTATGCCACTGAACAGGTCAAGTCTGCATAAATATTGTTTAGAAATCCAAGCTATGTTATAATTTTGCTGCAGTTTTGTAGCCTATATAAGCTTGTACACAGCTGTAATTGTCGTTTCTATAACAGAAGTCCTGCCTTCTATTTTCAAAAGTAGATAGCTGCATAATTTTGTACCTCATTAAGCAAACAGGATGCCTTGTTAACATCCAGATGTTTTGTTACCAGGAAAATCACAAAAAAAACCCCAAGTTTGTGATAATATGAACATATAGTTGGCCTGTTTAATCTGTATCTTAAGATTATTTTTTTTAATTCACATGATTAAAGATGTTTTAGTATACATTTAAAACAATTTGAGCAGAACTAACTTTTCTAAATGCTCAATACCCACATGAGAAATTTTGCTGTGGTTAGTTTTCCAGTTCTAATTAGCTGGGTTTATGTGCTTTGAATGAAACTAAGTGGAAGAATTTCTGTTTGGTTTATGCTTCAGGTAACCCTAGAGAAGCAGGAGCATGCTTTGCCTTGTTCTACTTACCATCAGTTTTTAATGTGCATTGTAGCTTGATATTTTGTCTGGTCATCAACATGCTTACAAGCCTGGTATTAATGGCATTATGAGTGCTAAATATACTCAATGTTTGTGAAGATAATGTGACTCTCTATTTTGAGAATACTTAACATTAGAAGAGCTTTAAAGGCTGCAGTCGCCTTATTAAGGAAGGAGTTCAGGAATGGCCTTTGGTCATTCTCAGCATGCTTCCTTGCATTTAAGAGTGAAAAGAGAGATGATAATGTTGTGCCTGGACTTGTCCATGTAGAGTTTAGGGTACCCTGGGGTTTTTGCATCTAACTGTAAAACAAGCTATAACATGCTTGTCCTTGATTTTCTTGTTTTTCTTTCAACCATTTCAGGGCCCTGCAGGAGTCATTAAATCAAAACTTCATGCTGATCGTCACCCATCGAGAAGTCCAGCGGGAGTACAACCTCAACTTCTCAGGAAGCAGTACCATTCAGGAGGTGAGTGCTGTTTCACAGCTGAAGAATAAATGTAGCTCATTATAGCTAATGCCAGCTCTGTTAAAGACGGTTTACATGGTCTTGATGGATATTCCTTTATTTTATTAGGCTTTTTTTGGTTTAATCAACTGGATCATCAAGATTGCTGTAATTTGATTAACGAACTTGACCTAAAAAGGGTTTTCTTTTAAATTATTCAAAAAATATATTTCTTTTTTCATTGTAGTAGCAAAATATACAAAGAGTATTTATTGCGTTATTCTAGAGTGATGAGGAAAGGCAGTTATTCCAATTACATTTTATCTTTAAGCCCCTTGAAGGTCCCTCTGTCTTACCTTCTTTTAAACAGCTCCGTCTCCATTTTAGGCACCTCTACCATTAGTAGTTGCTATCATAATGCTGTAATTCTTACTGGCTTGATAGCCAAATGGTTTTGTGTATAATGGACATCGCTGCCATTCTGTAGAATGGCCAGCAAGGGGTGATATTGTAGAGAACTTTGGCAGAATTAAGTCCTGTAGGAACAAGTATCTCTAATATGACTCTGAACTCTCTGAATTTAGAACACGGAGTCCTTACATGTTTTTAAAACTCCTTTCTAAAGCCAAAGGTTGTTGTCTAGTGCTCCATGGCATATCTATACCAGATGTTTTGGATGTTATTTTCCATATAACCCACCAACTTCTCGAAACATGACAAACAATCTAGAAATGTGAATCTTCAGATTTCACATTACAAAATACTGAGATTAAATGTTTGCTTTTCAAATTAAATGTATATTTGCTATTGATCTGACACTTCTCTCAGTCTTTTAGAGTTGAACAGATTTTACTGAAGCTTTTCATGTTGTGCTGACATTGTAGACAGAATTATTTTAAGTTGCATAATATTAGCTATAGGAGCAATATCTCATACAACAATGAAAAATGATCATTAACTGTTTTCATTGTGAATCCTATTTATTCTTAAGATCTAAATTCTGATCTTTCCCCTGTGTGAAAGCCTGTTTTCTACTTTACCTTTTTAAACCTATTATAGTACCTTCTGTTTTGTTTTTTTGGTAATATAAACGAACAAACATAGGTCCATCAGTTTGTTTTTTGAGGGGCCAAGCTCTGACTCTTTACAATTAAAAATAATTTGAATATTTATGGAAATAAATGATCAGAATATTTGGTTTTAATTTTAAAATGGTGAGATTCTAAAAGAAAACACATACATACCTATTCTCTGTTTGTTTTTTATCTATGCTATATCAGTTACTACTTTGCTGATGGGTGTTATCTGGCTTAAAGGAACCAGAAAACTGTGACAGTGCACGGGAATCTAGGCTGCCTTTACATGTGCTGAAGTTTTCTTGTTTGTAGTTAATGGGAGCTTACGGTCAACATGTTAACATATAAAGTTGATGTAATTTAAAAGTCAGTTACTGTTTTTCCCATGAAACAAGCAAAATCCAAAAAACCCCTCCCACCCCATAACCAGCATGAGCATCAAACCTTTCTTTGCCTTTCTGTCTTGTTATCTAAGTATTACATCCAATAGAGTGTATAAAATTTTGAAGACCATTTCAGAGGCTAAAATGAAAAGAGAATTTCAGAGGCTAAAATGAAAAGAGAACTTCAGACCTTCTTGTGCAGCTGATGCTGAACAGGTGAATATGTCTGTCTGTGCTAAGTCTCGTGGAAGTCACTGGGGATTTGGCTAAGGTAAAAGAGTTGGCGAACATTTGTCTAATTACAGAAAACAAGCACTGTTTTGTGTGTTAGCTCCCTAATGGCTTTTTATTTTAATTTTTTTTCTTTTAGCATAGAGTGAGCATTGTAACAAATGATTGATGAATCTAGTTAGTCTGTGTGATTTGGAGTAATCAGCGATATCTTTCCTTCTTTTATCTCCCTCGTCTCTCCAGGGACTGTTAGATTTATTTTTTTTTTTTGTTTCACTCTCTTGTTCACACTTTAACAAATTAATAGTTTACTTTCCTTCTGATATATTTTTGTAATCGTGGAAAAGCTCTATGTGAGTTGCAGTTGCCAACCACAAGAGGGCAGGAAGGACTATTCAATTATTACCTAAAAATGCTGTTCAGTGTTTTCAAATTAGCTTCTGGTATATTAACAAAAAGGAGTATAATGGCCAAGTTATTGTTTGATTTACAGATAATTGGCATATTGCAGGGAGGAGACTTAATTTCACCCTTTTAAATTAAACAGGGAGATTTAAAAAGACATAAAATATTCATTAATGTTCAGTGATTATAAAGCAGTGGCATATATTTATTCTACCTTTATTACTGTTTCGATGGGAAAATACTGCAAATATTTCAGAAATCGACTTGGCCATACTGACAAGTTGAAATGTTTAAGCAGTGTTAATGCAATCCACTCACACGTTATATCCTATGCAGAAAGATTCAAAATGACTACATCAATTATTAAAAGAAATATTTAAAATTCTATAAATGTTCTACTGCTTGCCACAGTTGGGTGCAACTGTCTCTCCAGGGCTAGTTGTTTAGTTTGTTGTTATTATTAGTACTGCGAATTTTAAGGAATAGATATTTTTTCCAAGTGTCTCCAAACAAACAAACAAACAAAACCCCAAGAACCAAACCCACCACACCAAAACCCCAACCCCACCACCCTTTCAAAACTGTCATAAATATTTTGCAATGGATTAAATGCAAAATCTAGTGAACTGTCAGCTGTGCTTTCGTAAACTACTATTGCTTCGGTTCTCTGTCATCTTTTTTGTTGTTTAGAATGCATGTTTAATAGTAAATGATATTTGGATGAATTATTCTTTCAAAGAAATCTTGGTGTTTAATGAGGAAACAATCTTGACAGAAAATTCTCTGAGAGAAGCCTGAAGCCGTAGTGCTTATGTCTACTTCCACAATGTCTTGTCTATTAATTCAATAGTTGAATTGGTACTTAAAAATGCTTTTTTTTTAACATGCTTTGTCTACAGCATCAACTGTTTATGTATTTAGATTTAACTTCTCAGTTTAAAAAATGTAAATTACATTCAGTTATATTGATGTGGGATTATGAGCCTATAGGGAATCTTCAGAAATGAAATAAAAAATTAAACCCAACTTGTCCAAAATTATGGATATTGGATTTTTTTTGTTGTTGTTTGTGAGTTGGGCAGAGGACTTGCTAACTTGGAAAGTTAACAATAACATGTTGGTCGAAATTGCAAATTAATCTGTGTCACAGGTTTCTGACATCTGTTTGTTCTCGTAAAATTGCAGTATTAAATTAATTCTGGGCAGTTACTGTTCTGGGAAATACCATAGTTACTTTTTTCCATGATCTGCATTTTAAAGTGGAAATTAGTAGGTTTTGTGCTAGTTTGGAGACTGTAAATTAATATATTTCCAATGTATTATATGGTTAAATAAGGACAAATCTAACGAACTGAACTCCTAATACAAGACTAAAAGGAGTTTTCTCTCTGAATACTTGTTCTTTATTCTGCTAAGATAATTTGTAGAGGCTATCCGTAATTGGAGAGAATTTTTAACTTTTTATTTGAGAAGCTATGCGCTAAATTATTACGAGGCATTGCCACATTCAATATAATTTTTTTTCTGTCTATTCTTACAAACTTTGTTCTCATTTAGAAATGAACTTTCTACTACTTTTCATTTTTGCAAGTTGTAGTTATATTATTTGACAGAAAGGAAGGATGGCCCTTTTCAGAGTGGGGAATATTTAAATGTTTCATGGAAAACAAGTTTGTGTTCTCATCCTGGAGCAGACAAACTAATTTGTGAAAAACTTTTGTATTTGAGTTCTTGTCACAATAGCGTGCTCCACACTTTTTCTTGTTTTAGTCAGTGACATAGGAAAAAAAAAATCAAAAAGTTTTAGCAAATTGGATAACTGTTAAAACCAAGGTTTTTCTTTTTGTTTGTCTGTTTTACTTTTGGTGTAGACTTTGAAGCCTTTTTGTGATTCCTGTGTGCAGGATTACAGACGTATCCAGTGTATACAAGCTGTGGCTGCTAAAGGGTGGACGAGCTAAATATGCAGAAACCTCAGGCCTCTTGTAGATCGGTGATTTTATTTTGTAACTGCTAGAGATTGCAGTTGAGAATACTAGGTAAAGCATGTACCGGGCACTATAAGTCCTAGTAAAACATAAAATCTGTGCAAACAATGCAAAGAAGATGGGTCCCTAAATACTGGCTGCCTCTGCATAGCTGCATCTGCTCTTTATTCTGTTCCTTTAGCCAATAACTTAATCAGAGGCTAGCTGCTTAGCATCCCTGTCACCTGTGATAGGTAATATATTTGTTCTTTGTTCCCTATAGACTTACTGGCTAAGGTGGAATATGAAAAGCAGTGTATCCAATAGCACTCCAGACAGGAGGAGGAACTATTTCTGCATACAACTGCTTGGGCTGAGATACCTATAAATTCTGTGTTGACAGACCCTAATGACAGTTTGGAGTCCTTTGTACTGAATTTTTTAGAACTTTTTTCTGATGAGTGGATGAATGTGAAACAAGATAAAATCCACCATTTATAAAACATGCAAGTAGAAACCTTATTTAAAAGGCCTAAATAAATGTAATATATAAATATAGGTAAGCAGATGAGTTACCTTCAGCATGCAGAAAAATAATCCAGCCGAAGGTCTTGTACCTTTTTCAAATCTGAATTTTGGTATCTCTACAAAATATTTTCAAGCCAATTGTTGTTGAGTGAGATCATCCACAGTAAAGGTCAGATGTTGGCATGGGGACACAAAATGTATATATGAATAATGTTCTTTTTTGTAATGTTGTAGCTAAGTAATTACAATAAAATACATTTGCCAGAGATCAGAATATGGTCATATCCAAATATGGTACGTACATTAACAGTTTCAGAAACAGTTGTATTATATTTTGATGTTTTTTATTTGCTTTAAAATTGTTGAAAGCTATTCTTACGCTAATAAAAACCAGTAACTAACACTTTTTGGTATTTTATAGGAGGTGCACA